CCTTTGCCCTCAAAGAGTCCCTTTTAATATTTCTTGCAGGGCAGATTTAGTGTAACACATTCCTTTAGTTTTTCTTTGTGTAACTCTTTATCTCTCCTTCTATTCTGAATGATAGCCTTCCTGGATAGAGTATTCTTGGTTGCAGATTTTTCCCATTTGGCACTTTGAACATATCATGCCACTCCTTTCTGGCTTTCCAAGTTTCTGTTGAGAAGTCTCCAGCTAGCCTTATGGGTCTTCCCTTGTCAGTTAAGGGCTTCTTTTGTCTTGTTGCTTTTAAGATTTTTTTCTTTGTTGCTGTAGTTTGCAAATTTAATTACAATATGTCTTGGTGTTGGCCTGCTTTTATTGATTTTGATGGGAGTTCTTTGTGCCTCCTAAATCTGGTATCTGTTTCTTCTCCAGATTTGGGAAGTTTTCAGCTATTATTTCCTCAAATGAATTTTCTGCCCCCTTTTCTCTCTCTTCTTCTTCTGGGACTCCTATAATATGAATGTTATTATGTTTGATGGAGTCTCTGAAATCCCTAAGTCTATTCTCATGTTGCATAAGTGTTCCTATCTTGTGTTCAGCTTCATTATTTCCCTTATATTATTCTATGCTGCATCATTCCTCCACTTCTTCCAGTCTACTGTTCATTGCTTCGAGCCTGTTTCCCATCTTGTTTAGTGCATTCTTCATCTCTGATTCATTCTTTTTTAACTCTTTGATCTCTGTGGTAAAGGTCTCACTGAAGTCTTCTATTCTTTTCTCAAGCCCAGTGAGTATCCTTATGATTGTTGCTTTAAATTCTCCATCAGGCATGTTACTTATATCTGTTTCACTTACATCTCTGGCCATGGCCTTATATTGTTCTTTCATTTAGGATACCTTCCTCTGTCTTGGCATTCTGTCTAAGTCTCTGCCTTCTTCTGTGTGTTAGAAAAGCCAGTTATGTCTCCTGCTCCTGAAAGTAATGGCATTATGAAGAAGAGGTCATGTCGTGTAAAGGACCTGGCACTTCAGGGAGTGTCTCTGGTGTGTGTTGCTTGTACTCTGCTCTTGCGTTTCGTCTGCACTTCCTTCAAGCCAGTCTGCAGAGGCTCTCCTTGCCTGCTGTGTGCAGTGTTTGGTCCCTAGTCTGAATGTGATGAGTTTTAACTAGATGTGCTCTGGTCTGCTTATGAAATGAAACCTGACACCCCTTCTACCACAACTGAAGTCCTGGAGAACTCTCTGGTTGGGACACATGGTGTGGGCAGGAATTTGTTCTGGTCTTCTGGGGAGGGGCCCATTCTGCGGGGACTGAGGCAAGCGTGACTGAGAAAGGCAGTCCCATCAGAGTGCAAGGGTGAAGGGCTTGGTGTAAGCATGTTAGGCAGCCAGTGTCAGTTCTGCACTGCTTCCTGTACATGGCTTTGTGTTTATGCTGAGGAGAGGAGAAGGGAAATGCCACCATTCAGCTCCTTTGTTCCTGGGGAGGGGTCTTACAAACACTTTCTCCCAGAGATGTGTTCCAAGTAGAGCAAATAATCTCCCCCTTGTGTGTCCCGGGTGTTCTTCAAATCATTGTTTCCATGCTGTCTACTCCCAGTTTGTGTGCTTGCCTTCTCTCCAAGAGCAGCACTTTTTCTTCAAGCTCTATCCCAGTCAAGCCCGTGGACCTTTAAAGCTCTAGGCTTTATATATGTATTTGTTTGTCAGAGAGAGAGAGAGAGAACAAGCAGGAGAAGCAGCAGGCAGAAGGAGAAGCAGGCTCCCTGCTGAGCAAGGAGCCCGATTCAGGAATCGGGACTTGATCCCAGGACCTTGGGATCATGACCTGAGCTGAAGGCAGACGCTTAAACGACTGAGCCACCCAGGTGTCCCTAAAGCTCTAGGCTTTAAGCCCTGCTGGTTGCATGAACTCACTAAAATCAGCCCCTCTCATTTTCTAAGCCAATGGCTTTGGAGAAACCTTCTCCTTTTGCATCCCCCTGTCTGTTCCTCTCTCTCTCTCTCTCTCTCTCTCTTTCTTTCTCTCTCCCTCTCCCTTCTCCATGACCACATCTCCCTCCCCTCCACAGCACCCACAATCCTTCTCCCCCTAAACCACATCTCCACAGTTACTACCTTCTTTGACGTGGCCTCTTCTCTCCCTATAGTTGTGTAGTTTTTTCTGTCAGGCTTCTGGTCTATTTCTGGGCGATTTATGATGATTTGATAGTTATTTAGTTGTGTTCATGAGTTGAAATGAGCTTAGGGTCTTCCTACTCCACCACTATCTTCCCTCTTCCCCAAGTGAATTTTTACTATAAAGATGAAAAGATTTCTAGTTTGTGGGGTGATACATATGGAACTTCTATATCCTCACTCTGCTGTGACCTGAAATCACCAGGGAGATGACAGAGTGTAACAGACCCTTGTAGGTACCTTAATTGAACCTGTGAAATGAGGTTTGGAGCAGGTGATGTCTGAGGTCCCTTCCAACCACAGTCTTGCTCACTATACCACCCCAACACTGATCACAGGACTTGGGGATCCACAACCCAGTGAGTGGCCACGTGGAACCTTCTGGTGCCCAGCCACAGAACAGGGGTGGGAGGGTGCATGGGTGGGGCAGCAGCAGGAAGGTGTCAGTGGATAGGTGGGTGGGAGTTCGGTGGGTTCAGTGTGAGCATGATCCGCATGCTTCCCTCATGTGAGTGCTCCCCTCGTGGTTCTTCCCTGCAGTGCCTGGGCACGCCTGTCCTGAATATCACCTGAGTGGTCCTGTGGAACCTTATGGTTCCCCTACACCAGAAAAAAACATTTTTTTTAATGGCAGTTTGACATTATCTGCCAAAAGGCCTATGTTTGGGCCTAGCAATCCCACTTTAAGAAACTGACCCTATAGATTTAGTGTATGTGCCAATGACATATATACAAAGTTTTTTTTATTACAGCATTATTTGTAGTAGCAAGAGAAGAGGAAAAAACTAAATTTTCATCAGAAACACTTCGGTTAAATTATGGCATGTTGATGCAATGAAAATCCATGCAACATTTTTAAAGAAAGTGAGAAGCTTACTCTTTGCAAGTTATATTAAATAGAATGATTTCCAACTTATAGATGATGAAAAAGTAATTGGTATGAAACCGTGTATAGAATACTACTATTTGTGTGGAAAAAAACACACTGTTTCAGTGCTTTTATATGTATAAAATCTAAAAGGGTACAGAATGAAGTCATGAAACTGTAACATTTGTTGCTTCTAGGAAAGAAACTTGGTGGCTGAGGGACAGGTATGAAAGGGAAACTTTTCACTGTGTACTATTTTATGCCTTCAAATTTTGAATTTTGTGAATGTATTACCTTTCAAAAGAAATACAATGAAAAAATTTTTAAATATTACAAAATTTCCATATTTATATTGTGTTCATATATTCATATGAACACATAAAAATCAGAAGATCTGTACTGATACACACCAAACAGCAGACAGGTATTAATGCCCTAAGAGGGGGAGGTGGGAGACTAGATGTATGTGTGTGGTAGATTTTACTTTTTACTTTAAATTGCTTGAATTTGAAAATGAGATTTCATAATTACACAAATGAAGCACATAAAAAAGGAATTGTATCATAAGACTAGGAGCACTGGGCTAAGAGAGTACAGCTTTTTCAATTCAGCCATATATGTATAAGGCACTCAGCCCTATTAACTTGGTCTTGAGTCATCATTCCCTTGAGTCTTTCTGATTGACTGAGGTAATAATACCTTGCCACATGAGAACTCAAAATGAAACAGTAAAGTGACCATCAGTCTTATAATGGCCTCTGTGGAGAATAGTGAAATTTCTGATATCAGAAGAGCTATCCAAGGGGCGCCTGGGTGGCTCAGTCAGTGAAGGGGCTGCCTTCGGCTCAGGTCATGATCCCAGGGTCCTGGGATTGAGCCCCACGTCAGGCTCCCTGCTCAGTGGAGAGTCTGCTTCCCCCTCTCCCTCTGCCTGCCTCTCTGCCTACTTGTGCTCTCTCTCTATCTCTCTGTCAAATAAATAAATAAAATCTTTAAAAAAAAAAAGAAGAGCTATACAAGAGACAAAGAGTATAAAAAGATAAGCAGTAGAAGCACCTTTTACAACTATCGTAGATACAACTCACATTTCAAAAAAGTATATAATCTGAAGACGTTGTCATGTTTTATTAGTTTAACAGTTGAAAGTGACTGCTCTATACATAATGACCTTAACAATGTTGATGCTGTAAATGAAAGTTCACTGTTATATTTATGTTAAGTTTAACAGTGTTTTTAATGTAAAATTAGGACTGAAGATTATTCCCCTACCAGTCTTCGTCCTGGGTTGTGGCTCTAACCAGATTCAGTTATGCAGTCACGTAGAACCTTGCTTTCTAGTGCTGGAAAAGATGTCTCTAATTACTGGCTTCAATAAATATGAATCCAGATTCCTTGCAAAAAGAAAATGAACATATAGTCTTTGAGGCTACTGAAAAGAACTTGTGATTTATAGTCAGTAATCCTGTGTTTAAGACCTGGATACATTATAATGTAGCTGTATCACTTTGGATAATCAGCTATTCCTGATAGTTAACCAACTGTCCCTATCCTATTACCTATCTCACCAAGTTATTGAAGCAATAAAATAAGAAAATATTATGAAATCATGTTGTAAACTCTATAGTGTTGTGCAAATACTATCATCATCTTTTAGCACCTACAATGGCAGAGATAATGATAAGTGGCTATGGTAGCTTCCCTCACATTGTCATAAAGAACATTTCCCCTTTAGTTTTAGAATCACATGGCAACTTTTAAAACATACAACTTCCAGAAGGTCTCACTGAAAATTTGGCACTGTAACTTATTTCTGTCACTTCATGGGGAAAAGGTAAGAATTAACATTTTATAATAACAATAGAAAATACTTGGTAATAGGAAAACAAAACAAATTTGTTGTCTAGTTTTATGTCTTTCTGAACTGCTAGAAATGGACAAAAAAGATAATATGAACACTTATTTTTTCTCTCTTAAATTTCAGTTATCTACCTCATATTCTACCATGCCATCTTTGTGTTCTTTACCTGGACATACTGGAAATCTATATTTACACTCCCACAACAGCCAAATCAAAAGGTAAGAATCATGGTTACTTCCTAAAGGCTAAAGAGACAGGAAAGCAGAAATGCAAAACAAAATAAAAACAAGAAGTTGAAAAAAGAAGCAAATAACCTTCATTTACAGAAGAGAGATTCAGGATAATCTTTAAAAAGGCCTCTTAGTGATAAAGGTAAATTAAGGGTAAGATAGTCTATAGAAGGATAATCTATTGCAAAATCATAGATACTTTGAAGACTAAGAAACCACTGTTGGAATTAGTGATATAATTATTTTTTTAATTTTTATTTCAATTCAATTTAGTTAACATGTAATGTATTATTAGCTTCAGGAGTAAAATTTAGTGATTCATCAATAGCATATATCACCCAGTGCTCATTACATCAACTGTCCTCCTTAAGGCCTTTCACCCAATTACCCCATCTCCCACCCACCTCCCCCCAGCAACCCTCAGTTTGTTTCCTATAGTTAAGAGTCTCTTATGGTTTGTCTCCCTCTCTGGTTTCATCTTATTTTATTTTCCCTTCCCTTCCCCTATTTTCATCAGTTTTGTTTCTTAAATTCCACATACGAGTGAAATCATATGGTATTTGTCTTTTTCTGATGACTTATTTTGCTTGGCATAATACCCTCTAGTTCCATCCACATCATTGCAAATGGTAAGATTTCATTCTTTATGATAGCTAATAATATTCCTTTGTGTGTGTGTATATATATATATATATATACCACATCTTCTTTATCCATTCATCTGTCAATGGACATCTGGGTTCTTTCCACATTTTGGCTATTGGAGACACTACTGCTATAAACATTGGGGTGCACGTGCCCCTTCAAATCAATATTTTTGTATCCTTTGGATAAATACCTAGCAGTACAATTGCTGGGTATTAGGGTAGTTCTATTTTTAACTTTTTGAGGAACCTCCATACTGTTTTCCAGAGTAGCTGCACCAGTGTGCATTCCTCCAACAGTGTAAGAAAGTTCCCCTTTCTCTGCATCCTCACTAACATCTGTTGTTTCTTGTGTTGTTAATTTTAGCCATTCTGACAGGTGTGAGGTGATATCTCATTGTGGTTTTGATTTGTATTTCCCTGATGCTGAATGATGTTCAAAATTTTTTCACAATAGTCATTTGTATGTGTTCTTTGGAGAAATGTCTGTTCATGTCTTCTGCCCATTTCTTGACTGAATTATTTGTTTTTGGGGTGTTGAGTTTGATAATTTCTTTATAGATTTTGGATACTAGCCCTTTATCTGAGATGTCATTTGTGAATATCTTCTCATCTGTCCATTGTCTTTTGGTTTTGTTGATTGTTTCCTTTGCTGTGCGGAAGCATTTTATCTTGATGAAGTCCCAATAGTTCACTTTTGCTTTTGTTTCCTTTGTCTTTGGAGACCTGTCTAGTAAGAAGTTACTGCAGCCAAGGTCAAATAAGTTGCTGTCTGTGTTCTCCTCTAGGATTTTGATGGATTCCTGTCCCACATTTAGGTCTTTCATCCATTTTGAGTTTATTTTTGTGTATGCTGTAAGAAAGTGGTCCAGTTTCATTCTTCTGCATGTGGCTGTCCAATTTTCCCAAGATCAATTGTTGAAGAGACCGTCTTTTTTCAAATGGATATTCTTTCCTGCTTCATCAAACATTAATTAACCATAGAGTTGAGAATCCATTTCTGGGTTCTTTATTCTATTCCACTGATATATGTGTTTGTTTTTATACCAGTACCATACTGTCTCAATGATTGCAACTTTGTAATACAACCTGCAGTCTGGAATTGTGATGCCTCCAGCTTTGGTTTTCTTTTTCAACATTCCTTTGGCTATTTCACAGTTTTTTCTGATTCCATACAAATTTTAAGATTGTTTGTTCCAGCTGTGTGAGAAATGCTGGCAGTATTTTGGTAGGGATTGCACTGGATGTGCAGATTGCTTTCTGTAGCATACACATTTTAACAATATTTATTCTTCCAGTCCATGAGCATTATGGAATGTTTTTCCATTTTTTGTGTCTTCCTCAATTTCTTTCATAAGTGTTCTATAGTTTTTAGAGTACAGATCTTTTATCTCTTTGGTTAGGTTAATTCCTAGGTATGTAATGGTTTTTGGTGCAATTGTAAATGGGATCGATTCCTTGATTTCTCTGCTGCCTCATTGTTAGTGTATAGAAATGCAACAGACTTCTGTGGGTTGATTTTATATCCTGCAACTTTGCTGAATTCCTGTATCAGTCCTAGCAATTTTTGGGTAGTCTTTAGGGTTCTCTAGGTAGGCTATCATGTTGTCTGTGAAGAGTGAAAGTTTGACTTCTTTGCCAATTTGGAGGCATTCTATTTCTTTTTATTGTCTGATTGTTGAGGCTAGGACTTCCTGTACTATGTTGAACAACAGTGGTGAGAGTGGACATCCCTGTCATATTCCTGATCTTAAGACAAAAAAGCTGTGTGTCTTTTGTATATGCTTTTATGATGTTCAGGTATGTTCCCTCTATCCCTACATTTTGGAGGGTTTTTATCAAGAGAGGATGCTGTATTTTGTCAAATGATTTTTCTGCATCTATTAAGAGGATCATATGGGGTTCTTGTCCTTTCTTTTATTGATATGATGTATCACAATGATTGATTTGTGGATGTTGAAACACCCCTGCAGCCCAAGAATAAATTCCACTGGGTCATGGTGAATAATCCTTTTAATGTATTGTTGGATCCTATTAACTAGTATCTTGGTGAGAATTTTTGCATCTATGTTCATCAGGGATCTGTAATTCTTCTTTTTGGTGGAGTCTTTGTCTAATTTTGGGATCAAGGTAATGCTGGCCTCATAGAATTAGTTTGGAAGTTTTCTTTCTATTTCTATTTTTTGGAAAAGTTTCAGATGAATAGGTATTAATTCTTCTTTCAATGTTTGGTAGAATTCCCCTGGGAGGCCATCCGGTCCTGGACTCCTGTTTCTTGGAAGATTTTTGATGACTGATTCAATTTCTTTCCTGGTTATAGGTCTGTTCAGGTTTTCTATTTCTTCCTGTTTCAGTTTTGGTAGTTTATATGTTTCTAAGAATGCATCCATATTTTCCAGATTGCCTAATTGTTTGGCATATAATTGCTCATAATATTCTCTTATATGTGTTTGTATTTCTTATAACATTCCCTTATATTTGTTTGTATTTCTTCAGTGTCGGTTGTGATCTCTCCTCTTTCATTCGTGATTTCATTTATTTGGGTCCTTTCTCTTTCCATTTTGAAAAGTCTGGCTAGAGGTTTATCAATGTTATTAATTCTTTCAAAGAACCAGATCCTAGTTTCATTGATCTGTTCTACTGTTTTTTTATTTCTATATCTTTGATTTCTGCTCTAATCTTTAGTATATTTCTTCTCCTGCTGGATTTAGGCTTTATTTGCTGTTCTTTTTCCAGCTCCTTTAGGTATAAGGTTAGGTTGTATGTGTGAGACTTTTCTTGTTTCTTGAGAAAGGCCTGTATTGCTATATACTTCCCTCTTAGGACCACCTTTGCTGCATACCAAAGGTTCTGAACTGTCGTGTTTTCATTTTCATTTGCGTCCATGTATTTTTTTAATTGTTCTTTAATTTCCTGGTTGACCCATTCATTCATTAGTAGGATGTTCTTTAACATCCACGTATTTGTGGTCTTTCAAAATTTCTTCATGTGGTTGACTTCAAGTTTCATAGCATTGTGGTCTGAAAATATGCAGGGTATAATCTCAGTTTTTTTGTACCAGTTGAGACTTGATTTGTGACCCAGTATGTCATCTGTTCTGGAGAATGTTCCATGTGCACTCGAGAAAAATTTCTGTTCTGCTTTTTTAGAATGAAATGCTCTGAATATATCGTTGAAGTCTATTTGGTTCAGTGTGTCATTCAAAGCCCTTGTTTCCTTGTTGATCTTCTGCTTAGATGATCTGTCCGTTGCTGTGAGTGGGGTGTTAATGTCCCCTACTATTATTGTATTATTGTTGATGTGTTTCTTTAATTTTGTTATTAATTGGTTTATATACTTGTCTGCTCCCAACTTGGGGGCATAAATATTTGCAATTGTTAGATCTTCTTGTTGGATAGAACCTTTATTATGTGTCTTTCTTCATCTCTTACTACAGTGTTTTGTTTAAATTCTAGTTTGTCTGATATAAGGATGGCTACTCAAGCTTTCTTTTGATGTCCATTAGCATGATAAATGGTTTTCCACACCCTCACTTTCAATCTGGAGGTGTCTTTGGGTCTAAAATGAGTCTCTTATTGGTGGGTCTTCTTTATTTTATCCATTCTGATACTTTATTTCTTTTGATTGGAGCATTGGGGCCATTTACATTTAGAGTAATTATTGAAAGATATGAATTTAGTTCCATTGTATTACCTGTAAAGTTACTGTTCCTGTAGAATGTCTCTGTTCCTTTCTGGTCTCTGTTACTTCTGGGCTCTCTCTCTGCTCAAAGTATCCCCTTTAATATTTCTTGTAGCACTGATTTGATGTTTACAAATTCCTTTAGTTTTGGGGGTGCCTGGGTGACTCAGTTGGTTAAGTGTCTATCTTCGGCTCTGGTTATGGTCCCATGATCCTGCAATTGAGCCCCGTGTCAGGTTTACTGCTCAGCGGGGAGTCTGCTTTTCCCTCTCCCTCTGCCCTTTCCCCCCCAACTTGTGCGCTCTCTCTCACTCTAGTAAATAAATAAAATCTTTAAAAATATATAAATTCCTTTAGTTTTTGTTTTTCCTGGAAACTCTTTATCTCCCCTTCTATTCTGAATGACATTTAGCTGCATATTTTTTCCCATTTAGCACATTGAATATGTCATGCCAGTCCTTTCTGGTCTGCCAGGTCTCTGTGGACAGGTCTGCTGCCAGCCTTATGTGTCTACCCTTGTATGTTAAGGAACTCTTTTTCCCAGAGCTGCTTTCAGAATTTTCTCCTTATCTTTGCAGTATATAAGCTTCACTATAATATGTTGAGGTGTTGACCTATTTTGTTGATTTTGAGGGGGTTCTCTGTGCTTCCTGGACTTGAATG